CTTGCCATTTTTCCTTTGGGAGAGCTATTCTTTTTCCACATAATTCTGATTCGAAAGGTATGTTTGTTTGTACCTGTTCTCTCTCTCTCTCTCTCTCTCTCTCTCTCTCTCTCTCCATATTAGTAGGGGATGTACTAAAATTATTGTTTTGATGCAGGGCATCACAACATATGAATATGTTGTTGCCATGAGAACACAAAGTGAACATCCTGGACCATCTGTAGATGGAGGTGATCAGCAAAGTCTTCCATCTTCACCAACCAGTTCTGCTGTTACTGCCATAAGTGGAAGAAGCTCTCAGGGAATGAATTTGCACTATAAAGCTGCTTGGTGCACCCCTCCAAGAATATTTATGGACCACCAGGTACCTTTACTTCAAATATAATTATGGAATAGCGGTTGTATTCTAGTAGAAGTGTATTTTCCTTAAGAAAATTTGAAATTGGTTTGTCGTTAATTGTAGAAAATTTTATATACATCCTGTTGTAGGTGCATGAAACTTTTCCGACAAATATCTTTTGTGAATTGTGTGTAATTCAAAAGAGGATGGGGTGTGAAATTGGTTTCATAAGTTTGATGTACTAGGGAGCTGGATAATATGCAATTTCAATTGAGAGATAATTTTGAAGTACTATTATGTTAATGGTTTATAATCGTTAGTTATCATATAGTACAAAAAAAATGATGAAGATATAATTGTTTTACTGAAAATTTAACCAATTTTAAGGATTATGTATAAAAAAGGAATAGATTTCTGCCAGAGTTATGGTTGTAATTGGTGGTGACTAGTGATTTTGTAAGCCATTGGTTTGAAATGCAGCAACTCAAGCACACGTGATGCATGTGGATCCTCAGTTTTGCAAGTTTTTCATAACCTTTCTCAGAATAAGGGTAGAATTGATATTTTATTGGTCTTGTATATGCAGGATGAAATTATTCCACATTTGGAGCCAGGACGCCTACCATCCACAGTGGATCCAGATACAATACAGCAGCCTGATAAGGCAAAAAAGTTACCCCAGCGTCCAGTCCGGATAAGTGCATGGAAGCTTTCAAAGTTGAATTCTAATGAGGCAACCAAAGCAGGTGCCAAAGCTAGAGCATCATCATCTGTGCTTCGTCCAATTAGTTCTCGACATCAACCATATGAGGCTGACTATTTATCGAGTAGCAATGTGAGTGGAAGAAGCAGTCCAATTAGTACAGATCAGGGGTTCACCAACAGAAATGCTAGAGCAGGGACGTCAAAATTGTCTCCTAAGAGTTCATACCCACCAAGTCGTGCTAGCAGAGAAGATGTTGAAACGGGCCGTGGCACTCTTAGTAACTTTAGCAGTCCTCATGTCTCTAGTCTCACCCCTTCGCCACTAGAGCAGAAAGCTTCAAGCATAGATCAGTTCAACCCCATTTATCAGTCATCAACGGATCAATCTCCACGGTCAGCAAAACAAAGTGAGGGCAATGAAAACATAGGGCAAATTCCTATGAAAAGAGGTAACTTGAGTGTTGCAGAAAAAGTGGGATCGTCAGTCTTTTGGGATCAAGAAGCTGGACGATTTGTCTCATCTTCCAGATCTGCAGGTTCTTCTTCTCAGATTTCTGGAGCAGAGCTCACGTACACGGGGCAATCCATATTTTTTGGTGGGCCTGTTATGAATGAGCAGCCAACCAGAGGGACAAGGAATATCATCAGTTCATTGGCTTCTGGCATGGATAGAGGTTCTACTACGTATCAACAGGGTAGATCCCAGAGGGGTGGCCAGCTTCCCGTGTTTCTTCCAAGCGATTCCCAGCAAAACCAGTTTTCATCTAGATTGATTTGAGTAGATTATATTAATGAGAAATACTGATCACCGTTTTCATGCATATAGAGTTGGACCCGGGATGTTTCTTTCAGTTTGAATTTTGTTACAAAACATCATCATGTGCAGAGTTTGTATCATGTTGTACTAACTAACCCAATACATTGCTCTGCCTGATCAGCATTTTTCCCTAACTAGATTCCCACATATGAATTGCTGTTCATTTGCAAGTGTGCGTATACAGTATATCTTTCTTTGTTTTGTTAGCATACTTACAATAGTTACAGGTGATTCCCGAACTCATTGCCTGAAGCGTCATTAGAACTTTATGTTTTGGACGATCATCTCCCCAAGCTGAGCTGGGTCTCTCCATACAAAGGTTTTTACGTCTTGTTTTGTATCTTTTCTTCCCAAGTCACAAAATGTGTTCAGGTTGTCTTCAGTTGCCAATACAAGGATCTTTGTGTTGAGAGTGTTTGTCCCACATTGAAATGTTAAGGAATCTAGCCTGGGTTTATAAGGAGTCGGGCTACTCCCCACATTGCCAATTGGTTTTGGGGTGAAACATCAACTTCCTTCACCTTGAACAACCATAAGATGGCGACCGGAAAATCATTAGCAAAGACTACTTCTACACAATAATTTATTTTTTCATAGAAACGCATTCGCTCAAAAAAAGATTCCATAAGAGGTTAATTGTACATGAGAATATTGATTATGAAGAAAAAGTAAGATGATATCATTTTCGGGAGCTAAAGGAAATGCATCTCAAGTACACCAATTAGTAGGTATGAGAGGATTAATGTTGGATCCACAAGGACAAATTATTGATTTTCCTATTCAAATGTACTTAAGGAGTGTTCAAATTTCCTCTCTTAATATCACTTGTGGGAAAGAAAATAAAAAGAGGTAACAATTCTTCTGCAAACCGTATAAATTTAACAGAATTTGAGCCTTTAATATTGTAAAAAGGAAAAAAAAAATTCAAATATAAAATCAACAAGGAACAATCTTATGACATTAAAATTGATACGAAGTAAAAATGGTTATCAATATTTTTATTTGAACTTTATGGTGAGAGATTAATGGGTGCGGTTGGTTTCAGATTCATCACAGGGGGAACACGTTGAAATGAATTGAGCCGCTGAATGACTGATGGCGGAGAGAAAGGAAAATTGAATATAGTATAGGCAAAAACGAAAACGCCGTTGCCGGGGATCGAACCCGGGTCACCCGCGTGACAGGCGGGAATACTTACCACTATACTACAACGACTTTGTTGATCTTAAAATGGTCTCTGTACTATTTATTTGCTTTTCAAAAAGAATATGCAGTGACGGTTAATTAAGACTTGATTAGTCGGTTTATTTATTTTTCTGAACATGGAGTTTTAAAATTTATTTCAATTTTTTACAAAATCTGTGTTAAAAAAACAAAGAGGATGAAGATCAATAAATCATTTATAGATGGTACCTCTTCAAGAATAACTTGAAATTGAATCTCTTTAACATGTCCTTCTCTGTTTGTGTCAAGGGTGACAATTAACGAACATGTAACTAAAAGGGATAACTTTGACCTGACTATCTTATGTGATAACCCCTTATATCTTAGAGCATCGCCAGCGCCATACCCAAACTGGGGGAAAGGCTGCCCTGGCGAGCCCAAGACACCTCCAGCGCAGCAGATGCAGCCTGGTTTCATGGTGGGTTCCACCAGCCCGGGCAGGCCCAAGGGAAAATTCAGCCCGAGCTGCTGCCAGGGCAAGCTGATGCAATGCTGACGTCATAATGACGTCAGCAACCCAAAAAAATAAAAATAAATAATAAATAAAAAACCAAAAATTTCAGAATTTTTTTAAATAAATACCTAGGCATATTCTTTACTTCCCACACAAAAAACTATATACAAATTCATCTCCTCATATCTCATATGAATAGTATTTGCCTTAGACTTGCCCTAGACTTAGCTCTCATGGGTGGAACCACAAATGCAAAGGCTGACACTATTCACGTGAATAGTGACAGCCTTTGCTTGCCCTTGCCTTAGACTTAGACCTTGTGGGTGGAGGTGCTCTTATGGTGTTGAAATATACACACCATATGATGTTTAGTATTTTTTGAAGAAAAAATTATCTCTGTATTTCATCACAATTAGATGTCTGAATTGTTAAGAATTAATTTGTCTATTTTTTTTAAAGAATAATATATAAATGAAGACTTAAAAAAGCGATTCAGATTGTTGAACTACAATGCCAAATGAACCCCACTAAGACGTGGGTATGGATTTGTCACTCCAATAATTTAATTCCTAAAATTTTCATTGCCAATAGGGGTGTCAAGTGGGCATTAACAAATCCACATAAAGTAGCATACTCTATGTCTTCTCCACCGTTGGAAATAATTATAAAGGGTTCTAACTATAATAATGATATAGGATTATTATCCCAAATCATCACATTTCATATGAAACGAAACCTAAATGTTTGGACACCACGAAAAGTTTGAGAGGAATCATAAAGGGACAAAAATCTAATTAAGAGTTAATTAGTTGATGTAAATATGACCGCTATGTACTCATCGTGATTAATTAGAAATGACCACTAAGTCAAGTAATTTATGAGATTTACTATGGAAGAGTGTTTTTAAATAAATAAAAACACATGGACGGATAACATTACGCGACGATTTGAACGTAACATTCAATTTTCGAAATGGTGAACGACTAACACACTAGTACTCGTTTTGACAATATAGTGGATTGCAAGTGGACACGATGCCTCGTGATTTCCTTCATCACTGGATTATTTCTCTCGTGGCTGTAGTAGGGCCTCACTCTTTTTTTTAGCAAAAGAATCCCAATTTACACTCCGGTTAACAGGTTCACCACAGAGATGGCAATGGGCAAAGAGGAATGTTTTATGCTTTTTGGGTAAATGGCAAACATGAAATTACACACCATAAAGACGGGCAATCTTCGTTCGCAACCGCCATGCGCCATTTGTTCATCAGCCAGCCTTCCGTACATCTCTCCGAGTTCAAGACCGTTACAAGAAAAACCAAAGAAACGGTCTTTCTTCTTTCTTCTTTCTTCTTTCTTGTTTCTTCTTCTTTTTCTTTTCTTCTTCAAGGAACCCTGTCAACCCTCTAAACGCATTGGCTTTGTATAGCTAGAGAGAGAGAGAGAGAGAGAGAGGTAGATGATTTTTTTATTTTTTATTTTTTAAAATTTCAATCATCATCGTTGATTGTTGTGTAAATTAATATAATTAAATAATTAAGGCCAGAATTAAGGGAGAGCTAGCCAGCTAGGGTGGTTGAGGGTTTGAAGATTATAATAAATGGCCGGCGGAGGGGGTGGAGGCAGGGAGCTGGATCAGACACCAACGTGGGCTCTGGCCACCGTCTGTTTCATTATCATTATTATTTCCATCCTTTTGGAAAAGGTTCTTCATATGATCGGACATGTACGTACAATCTCCATAATTTTACTTTAAATTGCATTTTATTAATTTACTTTTTGTATAATTAATGTAATTTCTTTTTCAAACAATTAAGAATCATCGTAATTAATTAGGTATTGTTGAACTGCATGCATGCTTATACGTATGCATGGTTTAATGGTTTGGAACTATAACTGGGAGATTATATATCAATTGAATATACTTATCCTGTGCTTTCCATATTGCAGTGGTTTGAACATAGAAAAAAGAGTGGATTGCTTGAAGCTCTTGAGAAAGTGAAAGGAGGTAAGTACATGTAGAAAACGCCATATATGATAATTTTTATTGCTTAACTTATGTTGTTAGTCTGTGAATTTAAACCCAAAATAACCCGACAAGAGAAATGTTATGTTTTCATTTCTTTCATACTTTGAGTTCGAGTATATATGTATTTATAATTCCATTATAATCTCATTTATTTTTTTTGTTTTGCTTTTGTCTTTGGTTTTCGTTTGTTTGGTTTGCATGGTTGTGTTTTTGGGCACATTCATGCATGCAGAGCTTATGGTTTTGGGATTTATTTCTCTGTTGCTAACATTTGGGCAACAGTACATCGCTAAAGTGTGTATTCCGATAGAGGCAGCAGACACAATGTTGCCTTGCCCATACAGAGGGGAAGAGCAAGAAGGAGGTGGTGGTGGTGGTGGTGGTGGAGATCATCGTCGCAGGCTTTTATGGTATGAACGCAGATATTTAGCCGGTGGTGGCGATGGTCCAGGCTGCAAGGAGGTAATTTTACCGTCTCATTTTCTCCATGAGTTTTGGATTTTTTTTTTTTAACTACTTGAATGTGTATTGTGATGCAGGGAAAAGTGCCGCTCATATCTACAAATGGATTACATCAACTGCACATCTTCATATTCTTTTTGGCAATATTTCACGTTGTATACGGTGCCATAACCATGACACTTGGAAGATTAAAGGTCGGTTCAAGACTCTATTTTTGTTTTGATACATCCATCTGCAATTCAAAGGTTATAGAATTTTTGTGGAGTTTTATTACTAAAACCCTAAAATAAAATAAAATTTTGGTGAAGCGTTGTATTTTCCTGAATTTGTGCAGATTCGTGCGTGGAAGGTATGGGAACGAGAGATGGAATTTGATAATGAATTCAATGGTAAATCATTCGACAACGCAACAGCTACTGATTGTTACTTGTCTCTGTGTTGAGTGCTAAATTTGGAGCTTTGTATTTTAAACAGATCCTACAAAATTCAGGCTTACTCACGAGACATCATTTGTTAGAGACCACACAAGATGTTGGACTAAAAACCCATTTACCTTCTATTTTGTAAGAACGATGTTATTATTTCCTCTGTTCCCTATTTGAAATGCTTGCAATCCCATGATCGAACACAATTATCGATATGGCTAATTTATTGCAAAAATGACCTCAAATATAGACAGTTTCGATCATTGAACTGCATTGCGGGTCTAGGAGAATGTTCACATTATTTTTCAAATGAGGACATCCTCACTTGAAAACTCTCCTCTATTATATATTCAATAGACACACTAGAATGCAGTTTTTCTCTATGATTGGTCTTGAATATTCAAATTTGTTGGCAGGTAAGCTTTCTTCGACAATTCTTTAGGTCCGTCCGCAGGGCCGACTACTTGACCATGCGACATGGATTCGTCACGGTATGTTTCTCTAGAATTACATGAAACAATCTTCAGTTCATATTAGTATTTTTAGCAAGATGACTGACTTGAAGTGTGTTCTTATATGTATATGTATAGGTCCATTTAGCACCTGGAAGTAAGTTTGACTTTCAAAAGTATATCAAAAGGTCATTAGAAGATGACTTTAAGGTAGTTGTGGGAATCAGGTAAAAATACTAAAACATTTTGTTTTCAACAAATTTGTGGGAAATGCTCTTCTCTAACTCTGTATTTTGATGGTGCTGGCAGTCCACTGTTGTGGACTTCAATGGTTCTCTACCTGCTTCTCAATGTTCATGGTTAGTTATTTCTCATTCTGTTTCATTAATTCCTTTTTTTTTTCTTTTTTTTTTTATAGAAAATTTGATATAGATCCAAATTCTCATTTAAGAGTTGGGTTTAATCCTCGGATAACTTTTTTGCTTGGCCTTTTGTTTCAGGATGGGAGGCTATGTTTGTGCTGTCCATACTTCCTCTTGTTGTAAGTGTTATTTTAAAAAAAAAAAAAAAAAAAGGTTGTTCTGGGAATTAACTCACAATTAATTAAATCAATTTAATAAAAATTAATGGTTAAAAAAAAAAAATGACTGAAGCTTGTGTTGGTTGAAGATAATATTAGCTGTTGGAACAAAGCTGCAAGCAATTATATCTCAAATGGCACTTGAGATCCAAGAAAGACATGCTGTAGTCCAAGGGATACCTCTGGTGCAAGTCTCAGACAAGCATTTCTGGTTTAGCTGGCCTCAGTTTGTTCTTTATTTGATCCATTTTGTCCTGTTTCAGGTATATTATTAGCCCCTTTATTTGAAACCCCATGATCAAGATTTTGAGTTTATTATCTGCCACCTAATTGTGCATTTCATTTTTGCAGAATGCATTTGAGATAACATATTTCTTTTGGATATGGGTAAAAATTAGATCAACCACCTTTCTTTATTTTGATTATTTATATATGTCACTTCTGGCATTCGAAATTAAAAGTTCTCTCTTGAATCCTAATGCAGTACGAGTTTGGGATAAGATCTTGTTTCCATGATAATTTCGTTCTTACAATACTCAGAGTTGCACTTGGGTACGAATATCTTTCTTTTTTTCTTCTTTTTTAACTTTTCTAATACTCATTAGAGTTATACCCCCATTGAAGTTCTCGTAAATTCGGGCTACATACTGCCCTGGTAGATTATATTATCTTACTTAAGAGTTATGTTCTCGTGGCAGACTGTGAATTTGAAGCACACATTTGGCCAAAATCAACCTAATCAGTGAATGGTCTATGATTCACAGTCTGACAATAGAACATCTTCCATTATATCATGAACATGTTCTTCCTTATTCGTAGACGATGCTTTGACAGAAATCATTTGAGTTTGTAATTAACGAGACATGATTGAACCCTCCAAATTACTGAATGGTGAATGTGATTTGAGCAGGGTATGCGTCCAAGTTATGTGCAGCTACATCACACTTCCCCTATATGCATTGGTTACGCAGGTACAATTCACTAATCACTCCACTACGTATCTTTTTTGTGTGTCCATATATAACTACTGTTTTTTCCGTTCTTGGGAAATCATAGATGGGATCAACAATGAAGAAGTCAATCTTTGATGAACAAACTAACAAAGCTTTAAAGATATGGCAAAAGAATGCTGCTGCAAAGAAGAAGAGTGACGGGAAGCCGGCAGCTAAACCCGGTGGCGATTCAGTAACAAAGGCTCCAACAAAGGCTGAAATGGAAAAAGGTCCATCAACTCCTGAACAGACGGCAAACATCATGGCCAGTGTAGATATTCAAGGCAACACGAATGACCTCCTAACAGGAGGACCATGAGATTATGGTGAGATTGCGGCGCTGAATGTGGGAGAAAAATATTGACAATATTGTTGGGGCTCCGGAAAGGCCATGCACTCACCATTGGTTGTGCCATTTTGCAAACTGACCAAATTATTAACATGAACCTAATCTTCTACAAGTGCCAGGCCAGAACACATCTTGAGTTCCTGATAAATAACAACATGGGCTCCAATTTATGTGGCGATCGATAGTCTAGATCCCTTCTTTGTATGTAATATTATATATTATTTCTTTGCAGTTTTGTTATGAAACCAATATCAGCTACATGGTGGATTCATTTGGTTTAAATTTAAAGTTGAAGACACAAGCAAGTACCTTCTAAATTTAGCTCATCTCAAGTTCTGTAAATTATGTGTACTTTCAAGACATTATCAGTTACCATTTTACTCATAGTGTTCCTTTAGTCTATGTTGACCCAAATATTTCTCGGCCCTATATAAATGACCAAAATAATAAACCCAATATTTGACTGAGAAAAATGAGCAATTGGCGTCTTTCTTGGGATGTGTAGATGTGGGGCGTGCGAGTGAACGTTGATGGTGTGAATGATGCATTGGATTTGGACTTCTGATCGAAGCGATTGTGGTCGAGGAAAGAACAAATCTCGGCCGTAGGTTCCTCTACCTTAGCACACAAGGCTTTCTTAGTGTTAATCAGTAAACAAGTTTGGCAAATAACCTAGGAGACTCTCGCCGAGTATGGTGGCCAAGATGGTGCTCCAAGAATCTTGCTAGATAACAAGAATTTGAGCAATATACTAAATGGATGGATAAAATTGGATGGTGCTCGAAGCAACAAATACTTGATCACGGACTTCACTGATTTTTCCTTCTTTTAAGTCCCAAGATCTATCTAACTCTAAGCTAGAATGAGTATTAAAATCTCACTCCAAACTCCAAAGACTGAGACACTGATAATAAAAAAGAGATAGATTATTCAATGGCTTTCAACTGGGAATTCTCATCCTTAGCTATGCAGCATACGTGCAATTCAACAATGACCTTTTTCCATTTAATATGCAGCATCCATGCAATCCAACGACTGAAATTAGACACATGTTCTTCCCTAATATCATAACCCAATACTAAAGTGGTGGTGAAGCAAGTATGGGTATTATGGTAATTTTAGAAAAATAGGAAGTGGATAGGGATATGGTATTATAGGTTGCTTTAAAAACCGGCCTCTCTGTTATTCCAACGGCCATGGCATCAATAAGGTGCTTGACCGTTAATCACCGTCATCATCATCATCATCCACGGTTGAGTTCAAGTTCAAGTTCAAAACCCAGCAAAAGCACAACCCAAGTAGTAGACAAGGCAGAGCAAGTGGTTCGAGTTTCAGTTCCCATTTCCTCATTGATTTCAAGAAGATGTGCGATTCTGATCACTTGGCTGCCTCTGAGCCTCATTTCAGCGTCTCCGCCTTCGGAGGCCAGAGAGAGACGCAACAGGAAAGTCATTCCTCTTGAAGACTACCGCACTACCCGTAATTACTTACTCTAACCCTTTCTCTCTTCTTAATTAATTTATCTCTCAAGTCTACTAAGTGCCTATGCATGTGGTGTGGGTGGCTTCTAGTTCTTGCGATTTCATGTTCTTGTGATTTGTAAGTTAAATAAGTTCAAAACTTGTGTGACTCTTGATTTTAGTTTTGATTTTGAAGGGTAATTTGCCCAAAATAATATGTATAACTACGAGTGTGTTCATGGCGAATTTCGTCCCAATGGGCATGGAATATCTTGTTGTAGACCCAAACAAAGAAAATAAAAAATTGGTTGACAACTTATTAGATGCAATGCTCAGGCCACAATTCGGTGTCAAACTATATTTGTGTAGTTTTATCTGGAAAATGGTTGATTCAGTTCTTTTTTTTCCCCTTTTATCTTTTTATTTTGTTGTGTCCATGTGGAACTTAGATGATAGTATTAGGTAAGATTGTCTGTTTAGACTGTTGCAATCCATGTATACCTAGATTTGGACAAGAAGGAAAGGACGATAACAAATGGATTTCAACTGATTACTTGCATATAGTCATTTCAAATGTTCTATGCCAAATTATTTCAAATACATTCAATCTAATCGTTTCTATCCAAATCCTTTCTTTGAAGTTTCTCTGTCCAAATGGAGCGTAATTTTGTGTTCTACATGTAATTAGCATTTGAATTTAACCCCTATTGCTTTCTTGTTACCTCAGCAGCTGATGGATTGAAATATTATGATTTGGTTGAGGGAAGGGGTCCAGTAGCTGAGAAAGGATCAACGGTTGAGGTATAAATAGAATTCTAGTTTAAGGAGAATGATGTTTGTTATCATGCCTTTCCGTCTTTGGATATGTTCTCGCCTCTGTTTTTGACCTGTACATACTTCACAGGTTCACTTTGACTGTTTATACCGCGGGATTACGGCTGTATCAAGCAGGGAATCTAAACTCTTGGCTGGAAATCGTAGTATTGCCCAGGTTCTCAACTTTACTTTTGTGGGTGTGTTGAGAGCTTCTGCATGTTTATATCATGCACAACCCCTTTTTTGATCAAAACCAATAGTCATTTGAGGCTCAACTCTTTAATCCATGAATGAATTCCCAATGCACAATTCCTTGTTTTCTACTAGCCATACGTGTTCAAAGTCGGAGCTCCTCCTGGGAAAGAACGAAAGCGTGAGTTTGTGGACAATGCAAATGGTCTATTTTCTGCACAAGCTGCACCAAAACCCCCTCAAGCAATGTACTCGGTAACTGAGGGGATGAAAGTAGGGGGGAAGGTGATGACATCCTCCTTTTATGCTTAAATACATACATGCTACATGCCTATTTATTATTATGTTGCGTCTTGGTGAAATTAGTAATTCCACGTATTAGTGTCGAACATCTTCATTGACGTGTCGGTATTACCCATTTCTTTTCCTTCCTTTCTCACCTTTGAACTTAGAAGCTTTTCCATAATCAATTTCTGGTGTCCTTGCAGCGAACTGTGATTGTTCCTCCTGAGGCTGGGTACGGTCTAAAGGGCATGAATGAGATCCCTGTAAGCACTTTAAACATAATTTGTTTTCTTCTTTTTCAGAATGCTTTGTTTGGTTTTTAACTCCCACACCTTACCTAGGCATCATCAAGTGTCATTCTTTTTTTTTTGTCAACTGTGCTAACATATTTGTACTGCAGTGGCATTGTTAGTTTCTAATATATTACTTGGATTGAATATTCTTTCTTACTTCTGTCACACCATTCCGCAGCCTGGAGCGACATTCGAGCTAAATTTGGAGCTTTTGCAAGTGATTCCACCTGAAGGAAAGTGAGCCTGATGTAGGAGGTTGTGAGAAGTTTATGTTTGAACAACCTTTAAAAGAGTAGTGATATAGCCAGCTTCAAAGGTTCTTTCGTATGTAACAGAAAGTTTTGCAATTGCTGAATCAGTTCATGGTGCAATTCTAGTATCCGTTCGAAAGAATAAAGAAAATCAGGATAACTGCTGTAATTTGACATTGCACACCGTTCATGTAAATTTAAAGCTTGTTACAGATTCTTTATCTTGTTCTATTTTATTCTGTTATAAGTTATGATCGAGTCTCGGATTTTCACTTCTATTCGACTGTTTTCACAAATGAAATTCCAGTGTGCAGTCGAGCCTTGCAAATATTATGCAGCAACTAAAAAACACACTGAAAATCATGAACCATTCAAACCAAACCAACTAATTCAACAAAGCACAATTAATGCTAATGCATGCAGAAACGTACATTGGGTATGCGAGTCGGTTACCCACGAGAGAGTAGGTATTACCCGTACCCGTTGAGGACGAGGTACGTGCACGAGTTATTAACATTTGACGTTTAGTAAACTTTTTATTAAAATAGCACTAGTCCCTTGGCACATGCGTGGTTTTTTTTTTTTATATTTTATTTTTAGAATTAAGAAAAGATAATATGGATAGTTATATTCTATAAAAGTATGATCTATTATATGATTTTATTTTTATTTTTTTAATATGAAAAAAATGAATTTACCATATTCCACTTATTTAATTAATAACTTCAATTCTTAATGTTTGAATTAACCAAGGGCATTTTTTGGTATTTTAAATGTTTCACCATTCTCTGTTTCTTGCTTTATATATATAGATTAATGTGCTGTGAAAATAATTGTTATTAGATTTGCTGTGAAATAAATTAACTGTGAGAAAAAATAATTGACGTTTGGTAAACTTTTTATTAAAAGTGTTGGTACTAATTCCCTCATAATCAGAAAATAATTCCAGCACAATCATTAAACCTAACGCCTCTTCGAAACTGATTCCCGCATAATCAGAAAATGAAAACACCTCATTAGTTGCTTTATCTTATAACTTTCTCTCACAGCAATTTTTAACAATAAGTGATTTTCTCGTAATTTACCAAACGAGCTAGGCTTCCCAAATTTTTTTAAAAATCACTTATCAACCCAAATAAGCAATATCAAACGAGAACTTAGTGTTCCATGCATAAAATAATGTTGGCTGTGTTTGCAAATTAAACGAGTCCCTTACATTTTTAGCACAATGCAATTTCAAAACAAAACTAAAAGCAACTAGTCCTCTTTCTATTTAATAATTAACAAGTTCCGGAAAATATTATAGCAAGCGCAAAATATGCCCATCTCTTATATCTCATCAATAAACTCAAGAAGATCGTCAACCTCCTGCCTCAAGGCGGTAATTTTCTGCACTTGCGAAGCAACCCGATTCTCGATTTCCCTTCCTCCATATTTCTTCTCATAACAATCCACAATGGTAGAGTGTTTCACCATTAACCTTTCTTCCAAATCCTTCACCTTCACCACCAGCTCCTCCACCTGTATACACAAACAATATTAAATACAATAATTAAAAGATGTACTGATAGCATGTCTGCACGCTATGCGAACCCAGTGTATGGAGAAGATAGTGTTTGGCAGTACATATACGAAAATACCAATCCAATGTCAACTTCAAGTAGCTAAACTAATATATGAGTTTCACTCGCAACTTCATGTTGCATAAAGTTTCGTTCATTGAACCAAATTGTAAAATACATATAATTGCAACTGAAAATAACCAACCTTAGGCAGTAGATGTGCAGCCTGCTGAGATGATTGCAAGAATGCCAATAAGGGCTTCATCTCTTTCGAAAGCTCTTTCAACAAACCATCAGCTGCTTTTCGAGCTGCTTTACAAGCTTGGATGTCCCCTGTCCGCGAAAGATCACGTAATGATGCTTCCACCTTATCATGTATCACGAGGCATCGGGCGATGATATTTCTGATCTGCTGAATTGCTGCTTGCACCTAGAACAAGACAGAGAATAATAACTGTCTTCTTATTGTAAATTATTTAAAAAGAAAATACTAGACAAAAACCTACTTCATCCCACTGCAGTTTGGCCAAATAAGAAGCCGAAGATTTGGATATGGACATGTCCACATGCATGTATACAATCCCAGTCACAAAAAGGAAGAAAATTCCAAAAATCAACATCAAGGGTTCCCAAAGCATTGCAAGGCTGTTGAATTTGTAATAGACCTGCAAATGAAGCAAAATAAAACTACTGTGTGAAACTTAAGGACAAATACAGTATAATCAGGGAAGAGAGTAAAAAAACGGTCCACTGTCTTAACACATATGTAAGCAAATTTGCATAACTCTTGTTATCTAGAAATGAAACCATGAAAATTATTATAAATTATACTACAACATAATACAATATACAGAAGTTACGAAATCTATAGATTAAAGATCTTAACATTCATGGCATTGGATACATCAACAGGAATATCAAACAAAGTCGGATACGAGTGAAAAGGCAGGGAAGAGATCTAAAAGCAACTTCTGCAATACATGAGAGGCAGCAGAGCTGTTCTAGAACATTTTTATTTTCACTTCCGATTTTTACAAAAAGATTAATAAATGAACAAGCGGATTGATTTTACATTATAAGTACTAGAGAGATGTAAAATACAATTAAGCACCGAAAACAGAAAACTGTTCTGACTAAGGTGAAGCAGAAAGCTTGACAAAAAAACATACACAAGACTTGCCACTATAAGCATCAATTGACATTTGCAAGCAACTATAAACCAAAAGCATTTTTCTCTTTAAGCAATTTTAGAAATTTAAATAACATGTGTCTTTTTTTTTTATAGACCACTAGAAGGGGTCAAAACTTTAATCAATATTAGAAACTAAAGTAAATGTGATATTATTAGCAGAATAAATAAAATAAAATAAAACTTATTCCGTAGTCATTTCCTGTTATTTGAAAATGGGCACCAGTAATACCTGGAATTTCTGATTATGCTCAGGCACAGCATTAGTCTTTTCCAGTGCAACCACTGGCCTACCAACAAGATCCAAGTGGGAAAATTTTTTCTGTAAGAATCGTAGACATATTTAATTAGAAAAACTCTTTAATCAATAAATAAGAAAATGAAAAACATAGCCTTTTCAAAATAGGCAACGAGAAGAGGCAAAAGAGAGATATTAAAAAAAATTGTACAAGCATGAATATGGGATGACATTAAAACTTGGTCTATAATACCTCTTGCCATTGTTTTAGAGGAAATGGAGCAGATACAGATATATCTCTAGAACCCTCGGGCAGAACAACCTGCAGTTTACAGTCACCAAATCAAAAATACAGGAAGAATAATTCTTTTAACATAATCTGACTCCAATTCATGCTTTTAATACTTCCCTGGTATCAATAAACACATCCAACACATTGAAAGGAAATCATATGAAAGCAACTCAGTATGACCATCTGACAAATAAAGTAGCCAACACATGCTGAATAATAAAGGACAACAGAATCTAGTATCAATAAGTCATCACATTACCAACCTTCACAATGAGAGTGTCAATGACCACCTCATTTATAGGGCAACCAAAAGAGATATTAATGAAGCGTTTTCCATCTGATTCAAACAGAAACTCGTGAAGCGGTAAGCCATATCCAATGGTAAAAGCAGTTCTCCAACCACCAAACATAGGATACCTAGGTTCGATTTCCAGTTCTGTCTGAAATGATGCATAAAAGTTGAGTAAAATAAGGAATAACAACTAGGAATAGTAGTTCACACGAGTTCAAATTATTACCTTCTTAAAATCACTCCATAAGTTAGATGTTGAAACATTGCCTATTTCATCCCTATAATACACAGAATGAGCTCTTGGTGGCAATTTTGCAACAAGACGCCTAATGGCTGATGCACCTCTGACATGAGGTCTGGCTTGATAATCAAGCCTGCAGAAGAAATAAGAAATAATTAAAATTAAGCTCCCCACTAGCACAGCACGAAATGAACAAAAATAGAAACAAAAAAAAGACCTTGAAAATTCTCCCTTGCTTTGAGCACCTCCATGGACAAGCTTGTAATGCTCTGTTACTTGAATATTACCCCAGTGGGAAATCTCTATCTCTCGCACCAATTCTTCAGCAACAGCAAAGGGTTGATTGCTCTCAAAATGAACAACTATAGGTGAGTACGAGTAGGGAGGAAGATTCTCATAAGGACCGTATTTGATCTCTGAGCCAATATTCTTTGTATTTTCTATCCTAGTATAAGATTCAATTCTTGCATCGGGCAATTTAACACTGAGTGTTTGCACCTTGACTGCATAAGGAGAGAGATAGTGTGCACTGTCCTGAAACACTAGGAGCTGAATGTCAGCCTGAGTAATTTTCTCAGGAAATGGTTTCAATGCATGGGTGAAAACAGCCAATACATCAAAAGTGAAGCTGTCCCCCTTGCCCAATCCCTTTGGTAAAGATACTGAATAAAACGTCAAAGAAGGAGGCATGTCTTTAGCGTGAACAAGTTGAACAGGGTAACTAATACCAGAACCTTTCACTTTTCCTTTCCCTTCATTGGGGGTTGCCGTCAGATGCGCCAAATGTTTTGCCTGACTCTCAGGAAAGGCCAACAAAACTTCTGAAACCAAACCACTTCCTGCATTCTCCACCTGCAGAGTGCAAACGGTATGAGTAAAATTCAACATATATGTCCATTTTAAAATAGTGTTGATATACAAACATGTGTTTTGATTTTTCTTTTCCGAAAGAGGATAACTTTCCGTGCATTCTTGGGATTATTCTTTTACTTCTCAATTCACTAGAATCACACAAAAGAATTCAAAAATGAGAAACATATTTCGTTGAGTCTCATGGCCCCCTCAAGCATAATCAATGTTAACATACGCAAAAAGAGAAGGAAAAAAAACTAATGAAGGGTATGAAAAGGGACTGATGGTGCACCTTCAGTGTCGAAGTGATGCGCGCAATTTGTGATGTCAAATCAATCTGCAACCAACCAACAATCAGAGGTCAATGTCGAATGAAAAAAATTCAACTACGAACGAAGATCAAATGCACCCATAAAACCAAAAAAAGCAACTTTTATGAATGAAACTGCAATTAGCAATCCTAAAACATCAACAACAAAGAGAGAGAGAGAGAGAGAGAGAGAGAGAGAGCACTAAGTAGTGACATATTGAATGAGAGGCCTATCAACTTTGGATGAACAAAAAAGAGAATGAGAAGATGGAGATCCCAAACAACATCGATAAAAGAAAACTCCAAAACCCCAATTCAGAAAAGAAGGAAGGGAAGGGAGACTTACGCGTCGGTCAACCTTGGAGAGGACCAGATCCGAGAGCGCAGGTGCCCATAGAATGGTGAGTGCCAACAGAAACACATCCAACCTCAAACCCACTTCTCGCATCTCTTTCTCTGTTTCTCACACTCTCTTCTCTTCTAACAAATGTTGCAGCAGCAGCAGCAAGCAATACGCAGAGGTTTTGGGTTTTCTTCTTCAGGGTCCAAAACGACGACGCATCGATGTAAGGACTGGTAGTGCATCGTCAACAGTAACTACAGATGAAGGAAATGCTAATGGGAGGAAGAAAGGAAGCCCAACCCAGTTCTGGAAGGCCCAAGTGGCCCATTGGAGCATGCGCAGGGCACGTGCGGACACCTGACGTGGCGATCAATGATTGGGATGGGTCAAGCCAAAAACGCACGTGATGAAGGTCTTTGCTCTGCTACTCCTAATCCTAAGATGACGGGAGGAAGGATTAGTAGGGTGAGTGTCTCTTCACTTTCATTTCTCTACTCCGCCATATCCACATCCAGCTAGGGTTAGGGTTTTGGATCTCGGTGCTCAAATGGAGACCTCTCTGAGATACGGCGGAGACGCTAAAGCCTTAAAAATCCATGCGAAGGAAAAGCTACCACTCGATTCCAAAACTCATTTGCAGGTGCTCTTTCCTTTCCCAATTTTATTTAATTTTTAATTGCACTCATTGTTTTCCTTTCTTGGTTGGGCAAAATTATGATCCTTCTTCAACATTCATGTTTTTTTTTGGTCATCTACTGTCTCAGTCTGTAGCAATTAGAATGCTAGAATATCTGGCAATTCTGGCAATTCAATTGAACTAAATGCTAAATGCCTGATGTTATTTCGTTTGTGTGTCAGATTCATGGAGAGCTAGATACTAGACTTGGAGTTCCAACATTTGGTAGAGCTGTTGTAAGGCGCTTCTACCCAGATGTAAGTAAATTTTCCAAAATTCAAGTTGTATCAGCCTAATATAAATTTTGTTCCTTTCTCGACTTTGATCGTTAGTTTTTTCATTGATATGCCTGACAATGACAATGAAAATCACTTGTAGTTTTCGGCAAGCCTTGGAGTTGGACTGCAGTATGATAGGCGCGAGAAACTACGGTACACTGTCCGAGCGAAAAAGTCCTTCCCTGTGACAACGGATGGGCTGTTGAGCTTTAATGTTAAAGGAAGATGCGATCTTGACAAAGAATTTAAAGAGGTTGGTACAAATACAGTGGTATCATTTCAACCTTTGAAAATACTTATATCCGCGTTTCTTATAAAATCACAGAACCAAAATCTGGTTCTCCACTCCCTAGAATGTATGTTATTCCTTTATTCCTACTTAAAGATAGAACCTTAGCACTATAATGTTGGCTCTAATTCTTTGACAGAGAAGCTCCACAGGAGCTGCTGAATTTTCTTGGAGCATTTTGAACTTTCAAAGGGACCAAGATGTCAGGCTTAAACTTGGCTATGACTTGTTGGACAAGGTATTGTTCCTTTGCTCAAATTCCAACGATTGTGATGGTCTTATTTTACATTGTTGAACTCATATATCCAACAATAGCGTCCATCGAATGAACAATTAACCAGATCCTAAGAACAACGTTGCAGAATTTTTCTTTGGTTTTGTAAGATTATTTTACCTTGTTATATTTTATTTCCCCGTTTCAACAGCTGAATCTAATATTGGAGATATTCTGTCAAATTCATTTCCACTTTTCAATCCTTTCCTTGTCTTTCCAACATTTTAAGGTCACATCACTTTTTTTGTTAACTTTCTGCTGCTTATCTATTATTCCCCACCCCCACTTTTTTCAGGTTCCATATATGCAGATCAGGGAAAACAATTGGACCCTCAATGCTGATGGTAACGGTAAATGGAATGTGAGGTATGATTTGTGAGAAATTGAAACTTGAAATACTTCTTTTGTAGGTCAGATGTGTTACTACGAAACATGTTGTACCGTATTTTACTTATAATTGAGAGCCATTGTGCTAAAACTTAGTGAAAATTGAAACTGCAACATTTGCAGGTCATTCTTGATTTTTTGCTCTTATATTTTTGCTACCCTAAACTTCTACCTTACAGTGGTAACTAATGGAGATTAAAACTTCTATTAAAAAAAATGGAGATTAAAACTTGTTACCATATTGGAGAGATCTTGCATGCCCCCCAGATTTTAATCTCAATTTGTGACCCCAAGGCCATTATTCTTTTGTCATGAATTGGGTGAATTGTGTGATTCTTGAGGTGAACCATGCGAGTTGTACTAGCTGATGGCTTCATTTTGCACCAAATAACTTTTGTGGCTGTATGGGTGTTTAAAAAGACAGCAGTCGGGCCATTGGATTTGTATCTTAGGGGGAAAATAGAGAAAAAAGATTGGGAAAATGTCTAGAAAGCGTTGTCACTGTAGATTATTGACCAATATTGAGAAAAGTCAGACTGATGGATGTTTGGCATCTGCAAGGTTAGGAGAAGGAACTTTGGAAGGGCGAATGTTTCAGTTTATGTTGGTGGATGAAGTATGTACGCATACAAGTAGAGTACCAAGGTGCGTGAGTTGTATGGTCTGGAGGAGGCTGATCTTATTTTAGCTTATGCGGTTGAGCAGGTACAGGTGCACTGATAGGCTAGCTCAGATGGCAATGGCAATGGCAATTACTGGGTTAAATTTGGTTATTGAGTTGACAAAAGAATTAGACGACAATGGGCTGCTTGGATAAGTTGTGGAGATGGATATGGAGACTGGACGTGCCAGGTAAGATTTTATTTGGAGATGATGTTAAAAAAAGAAGAGGGATTGGGGTGGAAACTGTGTATGATGCGTGCCTTGAGCATGAGGATTTTGGTTTTGCTTGTTCTGCACAAGCAAGCACAACTAGATATTTCGCTGGTGTAAAGGGAGTACGCATAATCAACTTGCTTTGGCTTTTAAACTTGGGAGATCCTATAATCACTCGTAAATATTGTCAATTTAATTTTTTGACATTTGAAGATTTTGTTTTGCATAAGCCTTTTTCTTTGGGGCCTGAAATAATGGCTATGCCCAAAATTTGAGGATCGGACCAGTGTTGAATCATATGCTTAAGAGGTTAGTAGCAGAAAAACTTGTAAGAAACGGAGATAGCACTGTTTTGTTATTCTCAATTAATCAGACTGACATGTAGAAAAGTTATCATATATTACATGTCGTGATTGGCCGGAGATAACAAGAGTTTAAGAGAGAAGATTAGAAGAGAAGCTGCATCGACGGACAATTAGAGATCAGAGACGTGATCAATCTCAGTCTCTAATGAAAAGGACCCAAAATCTAATCTCGTGCTTCCTCTTCCCAAGAGTTTTAAGACCCTCCGAGACTAGAATACCTACCGATCATTCAATTGAATTTAATATAATGTCAATTAGAGATTAAATTGGAATCTCAACCATTTATCAGGTACGAAATTGATCCATCGATTGTCACATTGGTCGCTGTCCACTTCCCTAAATCAGGGATAGTGGAGACGAGTTGTCTCACATATAAAACAAATGTAATGTCCTTCCATCACATGTGCAGAAAAGTGCACCATCCTTATGATGTACCATTAACTTCGTACAGTGTAAAAGAACAAAAGTGTGACACTATAATATATTATTAGTGGACAATGGAGATGGAATTATACATAAATTATTCTTGTATACAAAATATCTCCTGTAAGGAATCCACACTATTTTATTTTATTTTTAAATAATTTGAGTTATAAGAATTTGACATATGAAAAAAATAATAAAGTAGGTCAGATTATTTATTATAATTCCCTTTTTGTACAATAATTTTGTTATTTTTTTTTTTTGTAATAGGATCAGACAACAAGCCTCACACTGATTTTCTTCCGAACATAAAAACGTTTGGCAACCACCAAGCGACCAAAACCCAAATCACTCTCTCTCTCTCTCTCTCTCTCTCTCTCTCTCTCACCAAATTCACACTCA